TAGTCATATATGAAAGCTCTTGGATAATGAGAATAGCGGTGAAGAAACTACAAGAGGTATTGCTTATGGGAAATGGAAATAAGATGTCTCCTTATGCCATTTGTTTGTCTATGTGTGAAAGTATTTGCTAAAAGGTATTGCTATATAAGAGTGTTCCAATGGATAAAGAGAAGGGCTAGAAATAGGGAAAAGAGAGACAAAGGGGAAGAAGAGACTCGATAGGACTTCACGGTCATAGGCCTACGTATTCTCAACAGGTATGAGAAAGTCAGAGTCAACGTAGTTCAGGGAACTACGAATAAAAGACGGGAAAGTGTGTTCGGCAAAGATTGTGGCCCTTGTGCCTATGTATCTTCATTTGAAAGAAGTAAAGAATCAGAGCAGACGTAGTTCGGCCTACGGTTAACCGATGTTTTTGTGGATGATGCTAACGTGTGCATTCTAGCAGTTAGGTGTATTGCAGATCGCTTGTGGAGTCTTAGGAGTTACCTGTTTGCGGTAGAACGGAAGTAACATATCCTTTTTTGAAAAGTTATAGTTTTCTCCATCGAGGCAAGATGTCATGTTTGATTTGTGGAAGTTGTTTTTTAGGGGTGAAATAGATCCTCGGATAGTAATCCCTTGCGGGTAGTACCCAATTCTTTATCTCAAAAGATTTATTGTGAAATGGTGTGGCGAACATAGTCACGTCTTCGTATTGAAAGACGAGTATCGATACCGCACAGCCTATAGTGAGCATCCTGACACTCGGAGAGAAAGAAGTTTGCACTTAATCCTCTCTCTTTAGTTCAAAACAGAGTGAACTTCATTCTTTTATTAAAGATGTTTTTGATCTTGAATGGTAAGTGCTTTACGAAAGTGAACCCTAAAGGTAATGTCAAGCTCTCGGGATAGGAGAAGGCATACACCTAACCACTCCACAACCATTCAAGTTTTATTAGGAAAAAGAGTTTGAAAATGCACTTGGTACAAGACCAAGGTTTTAGGAGAAAAGTTTTTAAAAAGAATTTTTGAAAAGTGAAGGTGGTGAATAGAGCATGGTAGGTTGATGGCGATGCGCGAGGCAATCGACTTACACGGTCAAAAATGGCTCGATAAAAATCGAGAGTTTGCTTTGAAAAGGGTTCTAGTAACATAAGTTAGAAAGACATTATTAATACAAACATACAATGATCGTACAACCACATTAAGTTAATCGGCTTGAAAATAGGAATAAAAACAAGAAATGAAAAAAAACAGCATGAATTTTTTTTTTTGAAAACTACTAAAAGTTCGCTGTGCGAACTTCTTAGGGATTTTCCCAAATCAGTACATTATTCACAAAAGGGGGCAAAGTCTGATGTGCGAACTTGCCAGCGAATCTGCCCAGAAAAAACATCAAGAAGTTCGTTGTGCGAACTCCTAGCGAACACACATTATTCACAAATAGAGGCAAAAGGGGGAAAAGTTGTGCGAACTTCCTAGCGAACACACCTTCAATAAGCAAAACTTTGATCCAAAGCCAAGTAACATTTTCAAATCCGATTAAATCATTCCTCAATGTGATTGATCAAAACTTTTTCATAATCAACTTAAGAAAGAAACAGATTCTTGGAGTCTCGCATTCCTTGAATTCTTGAATGATTGCTCTTGAGGCACACGCCTTGAGTTGCTTTTCGTTCAATCTTTCATTTCTAAAACACCTAATATTTCAGAAACTTTTTCTTAATTAAATTACGAAAGAAATGAACTCTTGAAGTTTCGCATTCCTTGAACTTTTGAACGATTACTCTTGAGGCACACACCTCAGATTGTTTTCGTTCAGTCTTTCGTTTCTAAAAATATTTGCCCTAATTACTTGGACAAAGAAGGGACCATTGGAGTCTAGCATTCCATGTGGTACCTTTGAGCAATCCTTGGAAAATTTATCGTCCATCAAACAATTTCATAATTAATCGAATGAAAAAGGTATCGTTGGGATATAACATCCCAATAATACCCCGATTAATTGGTTTCGAGGACCATGTCTCGTTCTTATCAAATAATCGTCATTCTCCTCTAAAACACTCAATTAATCGAACCTTACTTTCTCTTCCTGTGCGATTGAAACCCTTAGCATACCTTAATCCAATTCAAATCTTTTTTCAAAAATACATTTGTCTAATCCTTTCTAACGTGTACAAACTTGCGCTTAAGCCTCCCGCGAGTAAGCAAGCTAGGTGTTACCGTTAGAATGCGATCTAGACACGTGTTCACCCTTAACACACTTTAATCTATCAAACTCTTTTTCGAAAGGAAATTGTTTAGTTCGTTCTAACGTGAACACAAACAAACGCTTTAAGCCTCCCATTGCAAGCACAAACAACGTTTAACAATTAGAATGTGATCTAAACACTTGTTCATTATAAAAAAACCACAAACCAACAACCGCAGTTCCACGAACTACAAACGCTCTGATTCTTCATTCTCGTCCAAATGACGATACGTAGGCACATGAGCCCAAATCCTTGGCGAGCTACCTTTTGTTTTTTCTACTTTTTGTTTTTTCCCACCTTTTGCTTCTACCTTCTACCTTTTCTTTTTCCTATCTAAACCTTTCTCCGTAGTCCGAACTACGGATGTCTGATTTTTCATTTCACAATGAGAATACGTAGGCACAAGGGCTTCAATTCTTGGCGAACACCCTAATAAAAAATTACTCATTTCCCCTTTAGCAAGCAAAACCCTTTTCGAACTAAGAGGTTTCCGTTGAGTACAATGGACGTGAGGGGTGTTAATACCTTCCATTTGCGTAATCGACTCCAAAACCTAGAATTTGGTTGCGATGACCATGTTTTTATCTCTTAAAGGTTTTGTCGATATTTTTCTATTCCTTCATTTGAATGAATAAAATTCGGTGACGATTCTGTTCAAACAACTTTTGCCACGTTCCATTGCGAAGGTCATATTTTTCAAAGTGCGACAGCTAGGCCGTAAGTCTCTATTATCGACATGACCTATTTCCACTCCTAAATGCATAAGATATATAAGGTGTCATGTCAAACCGTGAACTGGTAGAATAAAATCTCTAATCCAACCGATTGAAACATTAATAGAAAAATATGGTAAAATAATTTAAAGTGTAAGAAACAATACTATTACCTATTTTAAAAACAGATTGACTATTCTAAGTTTAACACAATCATAAAAAAAAGTTCAACACAATTTTTATTTTTTATGATAGGATAATGATGAGAAAATTCGCTTTCAAAGATAACTTTAAGGCTGAGGGGGACGAAGGGAATCTTGCATGCTGTTTTTCTTGTGATTTCTTTCTTCTTTCTATGACAAATTTCTCTTGTGATTTCTGGAAATGCCAAATACTATAACCAAAAATGTTTGTGCATATGGTATGACCCATCATCATCATCACAACATTACACACACACTCCTGTATGGTGGGACACACTCTCCTGTATTATTGCTTCCACACACACGCACAAATTAAATATCAATTTAATGATTGTAGATAAATAATATAAATTTTTTCAATCATATACAGTAGATATTTATTGACTACACATGCATAGTTTAATAATGAATAGTATAGTAGAAAAAATATTTACAGAATAAAAAAATGATTATTGGATAATGTAAAAACTAGTCTCTAATCTCTCTAGTTGTGGTTAGGGAATCACTTGTCCCCACAACAGATACTCAACTTGTTTTCATCCTCAAATCACTTAACATCTTTGTAAGCTATGTGCTATTATGACAGATCCTTCTCTGTCCTTCAATATTAAGCTATTATTAAAAGGATAATTGTTTTCATAGAGATGGATTTAAATCATGTATAAGAAACAACTTTATCATTTTCAAGTAGAAGATGATTTTGAGATCTTATCTTACCATGCATATATAAACAGAAAAGGTTGATGTTTTTTTTGTGGTTTCTACTTTATAGTTTCTACCACTTTCCAGTTATGTATATGAATTTGACATTTGTTTATTTAATGATGCTTAGTCCTTCTCAATATTTGATTGTTATGCCAAGTTAGATGAACCATCATCATGCATGCTTACAAAATTCATAGCAACTTCTGTCACTTGCACCTAAATGGAAAACAACAAAATTGAAAAAGAATTTTAAGCACTTTCGGCAAATCCATGTTATTGTTTTTTTTTATATCAAATTAAAAATAAAAAATATGCATTACTTTTGTTGACGTATCTGATATAAATTTGAACTACTGATTTTTACTTATATTTGAGACCGGAGTAAAACCGAAAAGAAAGAAAAAGTTTCATTATTATTATACAATTATGGCATAGAGATTTATGAGTTCATTTATTTCTGTGAAAATGATTGCATAAAAGGAAAATAGATGGGATGGGACTATAGACCACACTACCTTACATGTTTGCTGAATAGTACTTTTTTATGTGTCAAAGTTTATGCACCATAAGAATGTTGTGTCATGTAATAGTAGATTTTTTGCCTTTTGTATTGTCCAATTTTGTATCTCCATACAAATAACAGCACATGCAGAGGACCCATTAGATACTAAAAATGCCATTTCAGTCATTTTCATACATGATTTTTTTTTTTTTTTTGCATATATATTGTTCACTGCAGAATCTTGTACCAAATATGTTAGATCTCATAACAGTAGATAGCCAAGTGAGTAAAACAACTATTTACTCCTCGACTTTTTACTCGACAAATATATGAGTCCCCGCTCTTATATATCTATCGGTTATAGTCGCTGTGAGACTGACCACTTGTATTTAAATTCCACGTACATTTGTTTATTGCTTCCGTTTTGTCTGCTTCTTTGGCCTTTGTTGTAATTCCGTTTCAAATATAAAAGATAAATAATATGATGATTGAGGATAAAGGAACGGTCTACGTCTTCGTTGGTAACTTTAAATGAAGATATACTAAAATTTCAATATTCAAGTATCTTTGATACAGAGAAAAACTATTGCTGGTTCTATGTTTAGATGAGATAGAAGAACAGTAGAGGAACACCGATATCGTCATGTCAAAAAATGCATTAAATTTTCTTGTCTTGTTTTTAACTATCTCTTTGTTTCCATTTGTTTCTTCTCTTAACCAAGAAGGTCTCTCTTTACTTTCATGGCTTTCGACTTTCAATTCTTCGAACTCGGACACTAGTACTACTGCTTTCTCATCATGGGATCCAGCTCACAGAAATCCTTGCAGATGGGACTATATAAAATGTTCTGCAGAAGAGTTTGTTGAAGAGATTGTAATAACATCGATCGATCTTCGTAGCCGATTCCCTTTACAGTTTCTTTCTTTTAACCACCTTAAAACTCTTGTGATCTCAAATGGAAATCTGACGGGTGAGATTCCAAGTTCGGTTGGAAACTTGTCGTCGACGCTAGTTACTCTTGATCTTAGTTTCAATAGTTTAACAGGAAAAATACCAGAAGAAATAGGAAAGTTATCTGAACTGAGATGGCTATCTTTGAATTCAAATTCGTTACGTGGTGGAATTCCAACCACGATTGGTAACTGTTCAAAGCTTCAGCACTTAGAACTGTTTGACAACCAGCTTTCTGGTATGATTCCTGGAGAAATAGGACAGTTGAAGGCTCTTGAGTCGCTACGAGCCGGTGGAAATCAAGGTATTTTCGGAGAAATTCCAATGCAGATATCAGATTGTAAGGCTTTAGTTTTTCTTGGACTTGCGGTTACTGGAATTTCCGGCGAGATTCCGGCAAGTATAGGAGAACTTCAAAATCTCAAGACACTTTCAGTCTACACAGCACATCTCACAGGTCAAATTCCACCAGAGATTCAAAACTGTTCGGCTTTGGAAGATTTGTTTCTGTATGAAAATCAGCTTTCTGGAAAAATTCCTTATGAATTAGGTTCCATGCAAAGCCTTAAAAGAGTATTGCTGTGGAAGAACAATTTAACTGGAACAATTCCAGAAAGCCTCGGAAACTGTACAAATCTGAAGGTTATTGATTTCTCTTTGAATTCTCTTATTGGTCAGTTACCTTTGACTCTCAGTCATCTACTCTCATTGGAGGAATTTCTTTTGTCGGATAATAACATTTACGGCGAAATACCTTCATATGTTGGCAATTTTTCCATGCTGAAGCAACTTGAGTTCGATAATAACCGATTCTCTGGTGAGATTCCATCTGTTATGGGGAACTTGAAGGAACTCACTCTCTTCTATGCATGGCAGAATCAGCTTAATGGAAATATACCAACAGAATTATCGAACTGCGAGAAACTTGAAGCAGTTGATCTTTCGCACAATTTCCTCACCGGTCCGATTCCAAATTCTCTTTTTCATCTGCAGAATTTAACTCAGTTGTTGCTGATATCAAACAGACTCTCCGGTCAAATTCCGCCCGATATCGGCAGGTGCACAAGCTTGATCAGGTTAAGACTTGGATCAAACAATTTTACGGGTCAACTTCCGCGAGAAATAGGCCTTTTGAAAAGTTTAACCTTTCTGGAGCTGTCAGATAATCAACTCAGCAGCGACATTCCTTATGAGATAGGTAACTGTGCTCATTTAGAAATGCTTGACTTCCATAAAAATGAGCTTCAAGGAACCATTCCTTCATCATTAAAATTCTTAGTTGATCTCAACGTCTTGGACCTTTCTTCAAACCGAATCACCGGAAGCATTCCCAAGAGCTTTGGCAAGCTTACGTCGTTAAATAAGTTGATTCTAAGTGGAAACCTTATCGCCGGTTCGATCCCTCAGTCGCTGGGACTTTGTAAGGATTTGCAGTTGCTTGATTTAAGTAACAATAAGATCATAGGTTCTATTCCAAATGAGATTGGTTACTTGCAAGGATTGGATATACTCTTGAACTTGAGTTGGAATTCTCTTACTGGTTCAATTCCAAAGACTTTTTCGAATCTCTCAAAACTTTCGATCTTGGACCTATCTTACAACAAGATCACAGGTACTCTTTTAGTACTTGGTAACCTTGATAATCTTGTGTCTCTAAATGTTTCCTACAATAGATTTTCCGGTACTCTTCCCGACACGAAGTTCTTCCAAGATTTACCTTCTGCTGCGTTTGCCGGTAACCCTGATCTTTGCATTAACAGCAAGTGTCGTGCAAGTGGAAGTCTCGAAGGAAACAAATCGATAAGAAATATTATCATCTACACTTTCCTTGGTGTTATTTTAACTTCTGCTATTGTCACTTGTGGAGTTATTTTAGCGTTAAGGATTCAAGGGGACAGTTACTATGGGAGAAATAATTTCGAGGAAGTTGAAATGGAATGGTCTTTCACTCCATTCCAGAAGCTTAACTTCAACATCATCGACGTGGTCTCAAAGTTGTCAGATTCAAATATCATCGGAAAGGGTGGATCGGGCGTTGTTTACCGCGTAGAGACTCCGACAAAACAGATTATTGCGGTGAAGAAGCTATGGCCGATGAAGAATGGAGAGGCACCAGAGAGAGATTTTTTTACAGCAGAAGTTCAGACGCTTGGATCGATAAGGCACAAAAATATATTAAGACTTTTAGGATGCTGCAACAATGGAAGAACTAGATTGCTGTTGTTTGATTACATATGTAATGGAAGTTTGTTTGGATTGCTCCATGAAAAGAGATTGTTCTTGGATTGGGATGCAAGGTATAAGATCATACTTGGAACAGCTCATGGTTTAGAATATCTTCATCATGATTGTATCCCTCCAATCGTCCATCGCGACGTTAAGGCTAACAACATCTTGGTAGGTCCACAGTTTGAACCTTTTCTTGCAGATTTCGGCCTTGCGAAATTGGTTAGTTCCTCAGACTGCTCAAAAGCTTCACATGTAGTTGCAGGTTCTTGCGGATACATAGCTCCCGGTGAGTTTAAAACTTTTGAGGTTCTAAAAAGACCATTTTATTTCGGCAAAATCTCCGAGCTTATCAGTCTTGCATCATATTTTTTCGTCAAAAAGAATTTAAAAAATCGGTGGCTTAAGAATCAAGTTTTTTTTGCAGTTACTTTTTTAGAAAAAAAAAAGTTACCGCATAGGTTTACGAGGCAATATGATGAGTTCTCATTGGACGTTTGTCTAATGCGAACTCTGAACATGCATTGTCGGTATAAATTAGTTTTACACAGACGTCTAGTAAGAATTGCGATTACTTTATGTCTATTTTGGCTAATGACAGCATCATGTGTGAAACTGCAGAATATGGATACAGTTTAAGAATCACAGAAAAGAGCGACGTGTACAGTTACGGCGTCGTCCTTCTCGAGATGTTAACCGGAATGGAACCAACCGATAACAGGATTCCGGAGAGTGCTCACATTGTAACATGGGTTATCAGTGAAATCAGAGAAAAGAAAAGAGAATTCACATCTATTCTTGATCAGCAATTACTATTACAGTGTGGAACAAGAACACCAGAGATGCTTCAAGTGTTAGGTGTGGCTCTTCTATGTGTGAATCTATCACCAGAAGAAAGACCAACAATGAAAGATGTAACAGCAATGCTGAAAGAGATTAGCCATGAAAATGATGATTTGGAAAAACCAAATCTTCTGCATAATAAAGGCATGGTTGCCAATCCAAAAGCAGCAGTTCATTGTTCTAGTTTCTCAAGATCATGTGAACTTTTGATAGAATCATCATCTTCTTCTTCATAGTCAACAAATTGATTATTGATTTCTTAAGTGACAAGTTATTTATTTGTATAGATTATAGTATTTATATTTTATGGCAATTCCATATAACAATTGTGTTATTTTAGTAGATAAAATATTTCTCTTGAATATGAGCCCTCTAGTTTCTATAAATATTATAAATAATTTCTCTTTTTTATTTCTTTTTTAAATGAACATAAAGTAGGGTTCTTGAAATGTAGAAATATAGAATCAAACTAATATATGGAGTACACTAAAATTCAGGAAGAAAATGATGCATTAGTCTCAATCATACCAATGTAAGATCCCACTTTTGCCGACATGAGTGGTCAGGAGAAGTAAACTAATCAAGAGTTCACAAAGGGTTTATCATTATTTTTGAATAATGTATGTATGTATCTTTTGAAAAATATTAGTTGTTATTTTGTTGTAAGTAGGTTTTGGAATATCTTTAATATTCAATATTCCCTTGTTGAAATAACTAGTGGTTAGGAAAAGTGGTAGTTGTAAGAGATTTAGGTTCAATTAACCTAGGGAATGAATGACTTGTTAGAGAAGGGACCTCATAAAAGGACATAGATTTTCAAGGGAGGGGGAGAGATGGGCAAGAGAAAAAGCAAGAATGAGTTGATGTTGTCTTCATTCGTGGCATTATAAGGTTATAGGGCACAAAACTATGGAGAGAAGAGAAGCAAATATGGGCCACTATCTTTTAGAATTATTAATGAAAAGATAAAGATAGGTCGTACTCCATGTTATTGAAAAGATGTATTGCTTTCATTCATGTGATAGGAGACCATCCTTGGTCCACACATAGTTTGATACATCTTATAATTCATTATATCTCCCTAGGCCCTAGTTAGAAAAACAAGCAATCATCAATGTTAAGTAATCACTATCTTCCCATACAAGAAACATGAATATCAAGAATTAAACAATTTAGAAGGTGATCTGAGGTGGACCAACATGGATTGATGAAGTGGGAACGAGGACGGAGGAGGTTTGTGCTACATGGTAAGAGGTGATGGATTGGTGAAGTGCGAAAGAGGACGGAGGAGGTTTGAGTTACATGTTAAATGGTGATATAGACGCATACACTTCAAACGTTTAAGTCAATTAATTAATGAGGTGGATGAAAGGTTTTACATAATAGAATGTGCACATTTTTCTAGTGCAGGTGCCCTTTTAGACGGGTTTCAAAATTATCGGACGAAAACTCGTTGAGTCCGTTGAGAGATTCTCGACGTAATTCATATATTAGCGTATAATGTTGTGATTAATCGAACAGGTACCTAAGGCTGTGTTGGTAGTGCATTTTCCGTACGCACACCTATGTAATATGGTTCATTAAGAATTGGGCCTACGACACAAGAAAAGGTAAGCACATGTTAAGGGATTGGATTTCACAAATTCAAATGGTAATTAAATGTATGTATCTAGTTCTTTTGCCTTCCAAAATATTATGTACAATATTATGCACTTAGTTCAGTTAAGTTCATATTTAATAGTATTATCATCGTACATACACCATGGTGAATTCAGGTTATAGTTAAGTTCATATTTAATGGCAATATCATCGTACATACACTATGGTAAATTCAGGTTATTATTTATGACTTTAGATTTAACAATGCAAAGTTATTGTTAGACAAAATAATTATGGTACACTTTCGTGTATTAGTTAAATGGTGGAGATCATTGATCCCGTAGTAAGTAAACTTGAAGGAGAAATGGAGATTATTTGAAATTTTGTTGATTTACCGGCTCTTTCACGTTTGATTTTCTTTTTTTATTTTTCGTTTCTAACAATGGGTCGGAGGGATCAATCACATTTGATTTTTTTTTCTTCCATTTTTCGATTCTAACAATGAGTCACCTCACGAGGGATCAACCACGTTTGATTTTTTTTTTCTTTCCATTTTTCGATTCTAACAATGGGTCACCAGAGATCAATATCATTGGGCCAAGAGCATCCACACAAATAAGAGAAACACCACTTATTCACTCCAAAACCTTAAAGACATTAAGTATATCGGTCATTTCACTTATAAAGTGTCCAACCTCTATTTTTTCAAACTGTGTGAGACTTATAAAGGTGTTTAAAACCAAACTTACCCAATAAAAAACTGGTAACCAAACTGAACAAAACCGAAAACTGCAAAAAAAAAGCGCATTTGCTTCAGATGTATTTGAGTCATTTTTAAACACATATGTGTTGTTCGATTTGGTCTGTGGTTTGTATTTAACAAATCAAACCGCATTATGTTACAAATTTTTTTAAACATTATCGCATCTTCTTCTCGTCTTCTTCGTCAGGTATATCTCACATCTTCTTTAATCTTTCATCTCTCATATACTTTCTTTTTCATCTTCTCATTTTTATGCTGCTATTATCCCTTCCAATTTTGTTTGTATCACGCCTCTTCTTCAATAATATCTCTTCTCTTTCTCTTTTGTTCTTTCTGTTTCATCTTCTTTAATCTCTCATCTCTTTTATTTTTTATGTTTCATTATAATGTTTTTGATATTGTTTATGCTATTATTTTATGTTTTTTATTCTACTTTTGTCTAATATAATTTTTGTATGTTAAATGAAAAGTTGTTGTCCAATTATGATAAGTTTTGTTGTTATTTAGTAATATATAAATGACTAAACACAAAGTTATGTTAGTCCACTATATGTGTATGTACGACTCAATAAAAATTTTGTAAAAATTCGAACCAACCAAACCAAACTGCATTGATTTGGTTTGATTTGATTCAATTTTATTTCTAAAAGGCAACGGAACCAAACTGAACCGCACTTTTTTTTTCTCTTGCAGTTCGAATAATTTTTACCATCAAAACTGCACAAAGCGTACCACGAACACGCGAACACCCCTAGAGACTTCCAACTCACTCTTATATCACAACACTAACGGTTAAAAAAATTGGTCAGCATTTACTTTAAATCTATTCTCATACTTTAAATGTCACTGTCTTCATTCACTTGCTTCACCAATGTTAGGTCAAGCAAGAAAAGAAATTTGCATGTTCAAAAGAATTTTAGAATAATTTCTTACTATAACAACTTAGAACCTACAAGATACAGAGAACAAGAAAACTAGAACCTCTTCTAACTAAATGCTTTCACATTACATATGTTCCTTCATCATCAACCTATACAGCTTAATGACATGACATATTCAGGAAATATAAGAATAACATATTACACCATTTCCTTTAAATTGACACTTTCGGAATTCAAGGTAACCGAAATCACTGAATGGAGAGAAAAGAATAAACAGGTGTATTACATAAATATAGAACCGAAAGGAAAACTTGAACTCACTGATTGATATCTTGAACAAGATAGCTAGAATGTACAGATCAAAACTTCTTTCATGGGTGCCACTTTATGCTGCATCCAACACTTCATACAAATAGGAAAACATGACCATGATGACAAATACCATAAATTGAAATTTTCTAAAACCAATCAAAAGGGAACTATATGTACAAAGTACCTGGGTTTTTGCTCGGATGGTACTAGCTGACCACTCAGAACACGATCTATCGCCAAGCTCAAGTCTCTTTATAGTTAATTAAACATATTAAATCAAAAGGTTCATATAAATGTTGAATGTTAATTCAGTTATATGAAACTAACCTTCCAGTTACTGGTATGTTCTTATTACTAGGCCTTGAATCATCAAACTGACCATGATAAACCAGCTCAAACGGCCTTCGACCATCCTGTTACTATTTGATCAATTTATAGAAAATACAACATACCTCGACATTTTGAGGATTTAATTTAACCTCAAATCAAACCAACACTGATCGACAGTAACAGATTGTAATTACCTTTTTGAAAAGGTAAAATTCTGGTGTACAAACTGCTCCAAAATCTCGTGCAACTTCCTGTGACTGCAATAAAGAACATTCCATCAAAATTCAGAGTTTTACAATCACACGGACATAGATAACATCAGTGTTTCAAAGGGAATCATACCTCATCGTATAGGTATGGGAAAGGATAACCAAACAATTTAGCATCTTCTGCCATAAATTCTGGTCCATCCTGTGACGCGGAATTCCCAATTGGAAACAAATCATTCAATAGTTTCAACATAGCTATATACTAGGATACGATTCATTTCAAATATAATTACTATCACCTGGGGGTGTGTAACTGCAGAATTTGAAGATATAGCAACAACAGCGAGTCCTTTCTGTAGAAAGAACAGATAAAAAAACAATTCTATAACGGTTTTAACTTTACAGTATGAACAGTCCCACTAAGCTAGCTAAGTTGATAGCTGTTCAGAGACAACAGATGCAGAGATGCGGCTTCGACCTCGCGACATCCCCATTTGACAAAAAAAAAAAAACCTTACAATATGAACCTTCTACCAAAAAAAGAACAAAATTTCTATCGGGTAATTTGTTTGGCTACCTTCATATAGAATTTAGTAAGCTTTACAATGTCTTTCTTCAGGTACTTAACAAACGGACAGTGGTTGCATATAAACATAACCTGCACTATCACATAAAGAAGGAGAAAAGACAAACACTGTCACCATCCTATAATAACCACAAATTTTATGCATCATATCATAGTCCATAAGGAATAATCACAAGAACAATGCATATATTCAGTGTGCCTAAGATGGAAGAAAAAACAGTGAAAGAATGAAGAATCCTACCAATAGAGCTGGATGAGCCTCAAAATCTTCCAATGTCCAAACCTTCCCAGTAAGAGGCTCTGGAAGCTGCATCAATTTCAACCCATAAAAAAAAAAGTAATTATTCCAATATTTGAAAGAACGTATAATATGAATAAATAAAAGGGATAGTCCAAGGCAAAAACCTGAAATTGAGGGGCTCTGAAACCCAAGGTGACAGATTTAGACTCAATTCTAGCAGCTCTAATGACGAATCTTGTTGGGTGTGAGCACTTTCTGCTTGTATTGAGGCTGAAACGCAGAGGATGTTTGGAAATAGAGCATGGTTGAGAGAGTGAGAATCCAGAGGCAGTGGAACCTAGTTGAAAAAACGGCGACGAAACGGAAGTGACTCTCAGTTTCAATGCCATAATGGGATGGAATGGTTACTCACTCCAATATTCACCTCAGCCTCAATTTTCCAGCATCATCTTCTTCTGTTTCTGGTCTAAAATTTTCATGCATTTTCTTCCAGAATTTTTTCCTATACCTGAAATTATGTTTTGACTATAATATCCTTTGTCCTAAAAAAAATAAAAATCACTTATCATTTATTATTTTTATTTTTACTATTTTTCAAAAGTTGTTTATTTTACTTTATTTAATTTTAGTCTTCTATCAAATTTTCTACAAGTCTCATTTATATTTTTATCGAGAATTTAAGATTTATATTGCATTTTTAAGAAAATAATGATTTTTTTCGACATTAGAGATGTCCGATAGAATTTCATAAATTACATGTAAAATCCAATATACAAGATACATTTTTATTGACATATTTGAAATGTCTGATCAAATGCATACATGTGCGTACTAGATATTTCAAAAACTCTTATAAAAAAGGTTGTTGGTAATCAGTTTTTCAAAAATTTCGATAAAACTCTGGTAATTCATATTTTTTTTTTATTGCAGTGAGGACAAGAGAAAGAGATTGGATTCTTGCTTCTAGACAGACTAATAGAGCAAAGATAGCATTTGCAGAGAGCTTTCGTGCGAAGTAGATGACAGAGAGGATTCACATATTTGGGCTAATAGAATTGTTAATTCCATGTTCTATGATTGTCCATGACTCTATGATTGGCTAAATTTTGGTAAAACATGATTCTGCACTGATGTCAAGCTGAATGTTATGACATCCATCTGCTGTCATGACAGAACTGCTGTCATGTGTTTTTAATCAGGATGTCATTACCAATGTCATGACATCGCTGTCTGATACAGTAGGAGCTGTGGTAACAGAACTGCTGTCATGTGTTTTAATCAGGATGTCATTACAATGTCATGACATTACTGTCTGGTACAGTAGGAGCTGATGACAGAACTGTTGTCATGTGGTTTAATCAGGATGTCATTACCAATGTCATGACATCGCTGTCTGGTACAGTAGGAGCTGCTGTTTTATATCACATGACAGAAGTGTTTTGGATATACATCATCAGTATGTGCAGGCCAAAGAGATTTATTAGGAACAAAGTGCAGATTTAATTGGTGTTCATAAAAAGGATCTTTGAGACTTTTTAGAAAACTATAATATGCTTGTTTCTACTGTTGCGAAGAAGATTCTACAGGAGTGCTCAGCAGGGTGAGTTTGGTCAGCTAAGAACAAAGTGTGTGGGATGTCATTACCATTGTTATGACATCAAGTGTATGACATCATCGCGCGTGTGTTAGTTTTCTGGTATTTTACCTGATATATCTCAGGCTAGATTTCAGGAAAGTTTTTATCGCTCCTTAGTTATCTCAGGCGAGATTCTAGTCAGGGCTGGGCATAACATGAAGCAGTTGTGACCTATTTTGACAACACCTAGAATTATGGAAAGTGGTTAACTTGGTTAAACCTAATGTTTGTTACTCTTGACCAGCCCAAGCCCAGTCTGCATTGCTATTTAAGGAGGAGCAGAAGCAAGGGAAATTAAGCACTCACAACAAGAACAACTAGAGTGTAAAATAAAGGTTTAGGGTTTGAGAGTCCTGTGTGTGTGTGTCTTTGTAAGTTACCATTTGTATCTTTGGATACATTGTGGTAGACATATTTGTGAGTGAAGAAGTATGATTGTATCAGTTGTTCTTCACATGTGTAATGTGTCTTAGGATTACTTGTAAACCAAGCAATTATCTGTTGTATGATTGCATTGGTCTAGAGTTCTTAAGTTGCATGTTGAGTGTGTCACTCTAAGCTTTTAAGCAAGAGTGTTGTGTTCTTGATTGAAGCTGTGAAGCAAGATCAAGTGTTGTGACTTTGAAGAGTGTCTTCTAAAGTCTGTCTTTTGTATTGAATTGATTATCACTGCGGTGATTGAGGGGGAGTGAGCGGGGTCTCTTGTCTAGTGGATTTTAGGCAAAAATTGCATCGGGTAGAGATTAAGTGAGGAGTTGTAAACAGGGGAGTTTAGCTCTGAATTGATTATGCTAATAGTGAATTTCCTTCCTGGCTTGGTATCCCCCAGATGTAGGTGAGGTTGCACCGAACTAGGTAAACAATTCATTGTGTTATTTATCTTTCAGCATTTACAATTCTGCACAATTTAAATTGTTAGATAAATAGTCTGTCTGTCTGCTGATGTTACAACAGAGTCATGACATTGGTACAATTTAAAGTAATTTAAATTGGTCATGGTCTGTCCTCGTCCTTGTTTCAGCAGAGATCAATGTCTTTGCATCTCTTAGGACATATGAGATCTGCATGCCAGAATTTCAATTGGTATCAGAGCATGCATCCTGTCTGTTCTGGATGAGATCTTGGGAGATACTTTCTGGTGGTTTAAACAAGGAGAAGTTGTAGCTGATTTGTTGATCTTGCTAAATGTTTGAGCTACTGCTTATGGAGTTAAGGAGAAGTGTGTGTTCACTCCTGCTTATGAAAGATTCTGTGTATCTGCTGTTGTGCCCTCTGATATAGGACCTTCTATGACCTGGTGAATGTGTTGCCAAAGGAGGAGTGGCTACTTATGTATGATGACCTATAAGATGTTTTGACATCTTGTTTAGGGCATATTGAAGATGTTCCTTTGGTGGTTCCGCTGCATATGTTTCTTATGAAAGAACTCTGGTAGCCCTGAGAGAAGATTGACCTATATACAGTTTGATGCATGGTTGTGGCAGTTGTGTGTTAATATATGTACCCTGAAGTCAATTTGAAGAGAAAAGCTCTTTCAGGGAGATAATCTGGTTCTCATGGATTTCTGAAGATCTCTGGTGCTGATATATGGTATAATGGGAGGTGATTTATTTTCACCATTCATGATTTGCAAGAGCTCTATTAGCAGGAGGAAGTCATGGGCAGGTTGAGTCAAGGGTGTCAGCCTTGATGTTTCAGCCTTGGTATTCCTAAAGTTGTGTGGATTTAAGATCAATTGCTATTTGTGGACTACACACGTATTTAATTGATTATCCATGAAGTTCAGAGAAGGACTTATTATAAGGATTTAAGATTCATTGTTGTTTGAGATAATCTCAAATATTTAATGGATTATCCCTATTTAATGATCAAGTTGTCTCATCAGTTGTAGCACAAGTATCAGGCCCTTGATCTGGTTGAGGATCTGATGTTCAACCAGATGTTGAGACATTCCATCAGCAGAGATTGTGCATAATTCTGTTGATTCAAGGAGGTATAGTTGGATCTGTATTTATTCTAGTAAGATTCTTGGCAAGAAACTAAGGCTAGAATGTAATACTTATGGAAGTGAAGATGAAGACATGTCTCTTAGATCTGTTGAAGTGCAACAGGTGCATTCTAGTGTCTACTAGAAACATCTTAGCTTTATCTAGAAAGTTTCCTGGCAAGAGATTGGTCTAGAAGATGGTGCTGGTGATAACATTGCTTGGGTCAGTTTATTTCTGATCTAAGTACATAGGAGCATGTGATCTTGCTCATCTTGGAGGTCAAGGATAAGTGGCAGTTATCTCTGACTTTCTAAAGAAGTCTCTACTTAAGGAAAGCGGGATTCCTTCTGTAAAGATCTCTTGTGACTAATCTTCTCTGAAGAATCAATCTTTGGCATGTTTGGTTCCTCTAAAGAGGAGTTTTCTGGAGCAAATGCATTTCAAAGGTAGCTATTGCAGAATAGAGATTGTCCACTCAAACCTGCTATCAGTAATCAAGTCCATTTGAACATGGAACTCTTGATGAGGTTCTTCTAAATGGCTTAATGAATGACTGAATTCACTAGCAAGATGTCCCATCCGATGTTGTGACATCAAGCAAACTTCAGGGCCTTAATTGATGTTGTGGCACATCATTGTAGGATAGGAAGATCAAGTTTGCTTAGACTTTCTAGAGCTCTGAAAGATGCTGAGTAACCAAACAGTGGCATTTGGTTATTTAAAGAAGTGTGCTTAAATTACTCTTGTGCAGAAGGGTAGTTGTTTGAAGACCAAAGAAGGTTCTGATTCTATTCATATATTGGAGCTTGTGGTAGAAGCCTTAAGTTGTGTATGGAAGATTACCCTCTTTTAGAGATGTATTTGATCAAGCTGGTGGAGTTATGTTCTCTGAAGATCTTCAGTTGGATTACTAGGCAGAAGTAAGTCCAGTTGTGGGCAGATAAAGAACCAGTGGATATGGTTTGGTTTTCCTTGGCGAAGGACTTTAAGATCTGGTGCAAAACTTGTGATTCACATCTTGACTAAGAAGTACTATATCTTGTCATACGGGAGAATGGTGAGGTAAAAGGGTCTGTCTTGGAGTAGGATGTGAAGGTATGGTACAACATTGGAGTGGTTCATTGCATAAAAATCTAGACTATGATGAGTTATATGGAAGTGAATAGTCACCAGTTAAACCAGAAGTGTTCTAACTTATCGTATGGGAGAATGATGAGGAAAGAATGTTTTGGATTATGGGGTGCCTGTCTTGTTCTCTGACTCAGGCTGAGGTCAGAATATATGTGGAGAAGTGGTTTCTTCTACTGCAGGTAAGATGTAGAGCAGTTTGATACCTTCTCACTGTATGAGCATGGAGTTGGTCTTAAGATATAATATGGTGATCTTGGAGCAGCTTTTATAGAAGATAGAGGGAGAGTTTCTGTCTGATGGGTGTACTAGTTACCTATGGTTCAAGCAGTAAGTGAATGCGTTCAGCAGGTGTGTTGAACAAGGAGTGAGCTCTTGAAGACATGAAGATGAGTCTTATGTTTTCCATTCATGTGCTTCTGAAAATAGAGCACTAGTTATCCTTGATATGGGGAGGTATACTTCTATATAGGATCTGTTGCTGCAATAGTACAGTTTCAAGATTGTTTGTGGTCTCAAGCAGGTTGTGATTGTATGCCTCTATGAGGATGGAATGTCATACCAGATGTTGTGACATTGTGTTACTGCTCTAGCTCATGGTGAACCTGACAGTATATTTTATTCTGTCATTGGGTAT